CGCCACAGCATATTTTCAAGATCATTATTGTAGCGCCATGGAAAAGTTAATAATATAAATCCAAATTTATTTACGGCAGCCCGCGGCCGTATGGCCTCCTACGAATGATATRGTGYGGYAGCCGGYGGTCTAAAAATTATCAATACCTAATTATTATTATACGGACGCCGGCGGCCGCATGGCAGTCAACGTGTTAATCATATTTATTCAATAGTATAATACGATATGAGAAATTGAAAAAAAAAATTATAAACAGTAAGCAATATTTATTAAAAGAAGGATGCTTATTTATATTTCTCCTGGGATACTTGGTATAGGTACCTAAGCAGATTAGATCTGATCATATTTTTTCTACTACTCAACTATACCGGAAATGTGATCTATCAACATTGATTATATTGATTATATTCAAAAATGGTCCAAGCGTAGATAAATACCTACTAAATAGATACAATATTACATTCACTTTATATTTTTGAAAAATATTTTTTATTATACTACTATCATTTATTCTTAGTATAAATATTTTAATAATTGGGAAACTATTAGTTTGCATTTTGAATTAGGTACTTCCAACATTTTCAAAACAAAAATTCACCAAATAATTATTTACAGTGAACTATGGTGGCTCTCGTTAAAAAAAAAAAAAATACAATAATTTTAAGATATGGTCTTTGAGTCTTAAAAATTTCAAATGTTAGAATTTGAATAAATTACTTAGATAATTAGAGAAAAAATGTGGGTGAACATGTAATATATAATATTATAAATACGATACACTTAAGTATTTAAATATRTTAGTTTTACTTAATGAATATAGTTCTAAAATAAATAGTTAACATCAAATATATGCCCTTGTTAAAAGGATAGGCGTGTATGRGTTTCTATTTAAAATAATCTGCAATAATGCAAATATGCAATTGACAACTGTTAAACAAAAATGTAATGATGAATTTAACAAAATTAACATACTTTAATATGACATTATAAACATATCCTCGTCACTAGTATGTTAATGTCTACTGCCCTAAAACTCAATAGGTACTTAATATTTATATCATGCACTACATTCGTTAGCGTTTTGCGTATAATTACTATAATTACATAATATATTGTGTATACGTAATCGTCTAAACCAATAGTCAATGACCCATGTATATTGCATTATATATTATAAAAATAGTAACATCTATTGGCAATTATTCCAGAAATAATAAACTGATCAAACCAGTCCGTTGATGTCTTGATCATGGACATTTTTATATTCCACATTTTACGGTAGGTATCCATTACCCATAGCACATAGGTAAAATTAAAAATTATTATGCAATTATTGTTTTTAAATAGCAATAAAATAACAAAAACATATATTAGGTAGATTGGTATAGAAATTAAATTATTTACATAAAGCATATCATTCTAATAAGATAAAAGTAAATAATAAACACATCAAAAAATATTTAAAAAGTTTTAACATATTTTTATGGTATAAAATAATTATACCTAAATTCGTTATGATAGCATTCAATACTATCCACCTATACTAATACTTTAATAACCAACCACAAACTTTTCCATTATTCTTGCTATACTAATTTTCTGTGGTAGTGKGGCCTATTTTTTCTGTCGATCTTTTTTCCATTAATATTTTAGCCGATTACCAATAATTACTTTTTATATCTATTTATTATTTAATAATGCTTTTCATTAGGTAGTTATATTTTCAAAAATAGTTTATAAAAATGGAAAAAAATAATTTTAATAACCTTTATTGTAATATGGCGGAAACATTAAAATTAGTTTCTAATGTAGTAACGTATTGTGCGATGTTGTCGATTTTGTCATGTGTAAAGTATTACTATTAAACGTTTTGTAAAGATATAGTTACTAGGTACTAATAAATACCATAATTTTATTAAAATTATATTATCATTGAATGTATATTATGTACATTAATACTATATACCTAGTATTGTAGTACTTAGTAAAGTTAATAGCATTGATTTTAAAATTTGATTATAAAATCAACGTTAATAGTTTATACTAATTATTATGGCCATGCTTATTTAATATAAAAATCGGTTTAAATCATCCACCCTGGACCTATATGAGCATATCGCATAATATGACATATCCGATCAGTCGCTAAATACAATCAATAGGGCGGGGGCTGCTTATAAAGGCAAAATATTATATACGTAACATCGTTATTGGTGGAYGAATTGCTGCGACACGTAAACATGTTGGTAGTGTCATAGTATGCGTAACAGCGTAACTGAAGTCGTCAGGATAGCCCTTCTTGTAAAATGCCGGATAGTTTTTGAGCTACGAGCTACTCTTACATGACGCCGGAGTTTTATGGGCACTTGGGCAGCAGTTTTGACGGCCATCATTTTGTATTTTTTTTTTTTTATATGTAAATAATGATAAATAACATGTAATTTATAACAAATCTAGTCTCAGAAGATGATTAAATAATATATACGTTCAAAAATATTTAWTTTTTTTATTTKTAAGGATGAATAACTAATAGTTTTCAAATTTATTTTGATTATGAATATTGACGATTATTTTTGTATACATTTATAGTTTTGTAATTATTGATAATATGTATGTAATTTTTAAAAACTGTATAGTAATTGTAATGTTATTGGAAAACAACCTATGCCTTTTTTAACAATAGAGATGTAAAAAAAGGTAATTCGTAACAAATCTACTAATCTCAGGAACTACTGATTCGAATTTAAAAACAATTTTTTCTTGGATTGTCCATTTATCGAGGAAATTTATAGGATATATAACATTTTTAGAAAGTCCACATGCTAAGTAGGAACTTAAAAATTTATGAAATTTCTGTTTGTAATGACGAATATAACTCGCGTCTCGCAGGCCATACAATTTCTTAAATTCTACTTCAACTTATGACTGTAACTTTGACTATTCTGTACTAAACTAGTAACTACTAAATGATGTTGATATTGATAAAATGGATAAAATATATGTGACAAATGCCAAGCAAAGAAATGGAAGGCTAAAGCTCATGGACTATGTTGTAGTGGTGGAAAAGTAGTTTTACCTAAAATTTACGGACCAAAATCAGTTAGGTCATCCACGGGAAGTTTTGATCATGAATCATGACTAGAGCTCGGATTTTTTTCGCGCAGCCAGAATTACATCGGAGCAATGAGATACAATTAATTTGATTCATGAGGTCTATATTATACAAATATGCAAACTTTTTTGTATATTTGACATTTTTGAGCATATAAATGCATACATTCATAATTTATAGATTTAATGGCATATTTCTAATATTTTAAATATAATATAAACATAACACTTTATASGGTTAAAAACTCATATATTTATATCACTATGTATACACGAATGACGGAATCGCCTGTCGATGACCATTATCTTATCGCCTATCGTTAGTAGACTAATATTACAGGTATAACAGTATAGACTGACTGCTTGTAGATAAATCAATATAGGTACATACAATTTCAAAAAGTATTGGACAAACATTCTGGGTATAAATTATTATGCAAAATTTCTAAAATAATAGATGGCAAAACAGATTCGTTTGATTGACTACCMRAAGCTATAGAAACTATTGATATTGTTAACTTTAAGATTTTTCAAATTCTAAAATATATCCAAAATAATTGTTATACAGTGTAATCTTAATATTTAAATTATTTAACTTATGGAACATGTATTTTAGTTTATATATTTATATTTATAGTAATTTATTTTTATATCATGCATTTTTTTATAATTTATTTTGAATTAATAATAACTCCTATTTTGCGTATATTTTTTTGCATATTTTTGTTGAAAAAAAGGTATACCTATTTGATATATTTGCATATTTTGAAAGTTTTAAATGCATATTTTAATGAAATTTCGGTTATAAACATCCGAGCTCTAATTATGACTATCCGGGTATTAAACGATGAATTTAAGTATTAAACACAAATTTTGAATCATATAGAGTTGGTATTTTTAACGGACAACGAAGTGAACAGGGATCAGCTATAAAAAAAATAGTTTGTAATAACATAATCAATTTTAACTAATAGGTATAATAAAAAATACTTTGATTTTCATTAAAAATGTAATACAAATATTTTTAATTAAACATTTGAAATAAAGGTGTTCTTAAATTTGTTTATTTTGTATAACACAACATATTATCTTAACACTAAAAATGGTATAACTTAGGTATAGCATAAAATTCAAGACAAAATGACTGCTTTAAAGAAAGTTGGATAAAAAGTTTGAAAATAAAATATATTCTACTACATCTTCATTTTCATATATAACTATATAACATATTAAATATTATATACGTATACATTGAATAAATAAGAAATAATTTTCTTATATAATATTAATGTATCTTTTTTGATTATTACTATTCCTTATACCTACCTACAATTAACAAACATTATAGCTCCACATAAATATTTAAAAAGAATGGTCAATATGAAAGTAAGTACAAAAATATAGGGCTTTTGGCTTTTACAAATATTATAAACAAGTTTTAAAATTATATCCAATACAGACATTAGTTACTTTATAACAATCATTTAAAATAAAAATGTTATAAATAATAATTAATAATAAATTAAAATAAGTTAAGTTTTCTCAAAAAATTACCAAAGCAATTAAAAATTGTTATACTTTTTAATAAAAATTTTGTATTTAGTAAAAACCAATAGATTTATATTTTTAGTACTTCATTTTATATTGACTATTATTTTAAATAATAAGTTTAAGGAATGGTAATCAAATATAATATATTAATATTGTATAAGAAAATAATTTAAATATAAAATATCTAATATATTAATACCTTTTAACTTTTATAATACGTTATATTATTAATTATTATTTTAATTATAAATGGAAATTTAAGAGAATATTTTGTATTTTTCAGCTTTTTATCACTTAAAATGTGTCCTGACATTTTGACCGATTACCAACACAATAATACAAAATAATTATCATTGAAATTTTTGTTAATAATACCACCATATTATGAATAATAATTAAAGCTTAAATTAAAATAAAATTACTACAAGTCATAAAAATTAGAAATTTGAAGTTAATATACTTTTGAATTATATATTTTATAAATTATTAAAATCTAGAAAAAATGGTTTAAGATTAGCAGGTAAAAGTTTGAAATAAAAAACAAACGGCTTATAAAACAACAGTCTTAAGATAAATATAATTAAATTTCAAAAATAGAATAAGTATAATAAATTGAATTACTAATAAAATAAGATATAAGGCAATGTTGGATACATTTAAATATAAATTTATAATTTTTTAATAATAATTGTAGATACAATTGATTTAGTAGCCAAATATCATTAAATAACATGACAAGGTGAGAATGATATCAGCAGTATACATTAAATGTTTACATGATGTTTGAAAGTAAAATTTGTATCATTAATCTGAASATATAATTATGGGGCGTGTAGAATTTATAATAACAAATGCCATAAACTAAAAAAAAACATTGAAACTTAAATTGGGGGATAATTATGTGTACAACAGAAGGGAATGGATAAGATTTGATATTATAATAGTTAGATCCATTGTTTAAAGAGGTTTCTCAGAAGCCATRAAGTTCAATGCATTTGGATGCACCTTTAAGTAGATGAATAGTGAGATGAGAGCAAATATGACGGCCAAAGTGGGCAACACCACTGAAACAACATTTTTTTTGTTTTCCAAGAATTCTCTCTTCCTTTCCTTCTTCTGTTTGTTGGTTTCCTTTGGTTTGTTGGTACGTGAGTTCCTCATTTTTGTGTAGCCACTGTAATAAAACAACAAAAATGAATACACTATTGTTGAGTTTAAAAACAAAACGGTGAATACAGCAGTATTTTTTAAACACCATATTGTGCRAACATTATATTATTTTTATGTAAACATCATAAAACTAATATTATTTATGGATTTTCAGATACACATATTGGATATTATGAGTAAATAACTTACGCTAAGACGCGGACAGTCCAGGAAAAATAATATTCCTATTCGGGCGAAGAGAGATGACTGTATTTGCACAACTACAGCAAAACAGCAGGTCGCTTACAACTGTCACAAATTAATCTGCCACGAAAACAAAAAGTACGAATGTCGACTACACGTCTCGCGACTCGTATAGGTAATATTGTAACTAATGTAACTTATATATTTTGTTTACGTCTACCTCGTCGACACTTGATGATAACAAATCCAAATCATCGTCAACGAAGAGTACGTGTGTGTATCATTGATAATCATCGCGGCTGTAGTTGTACGACCCAACCACGACTGCCCATTTTGAGGTAGAGTTGTGTGCACAGTGTCGCCAGTTTCGGGTATTAACGAGCTTGTCGCGGGCGGGCTGGTACACATAGACATATTTTTTTTTTTTTTATTGTACAAATTTTCGATAAAAATTCTGAAACTGATTTGAATTTTCCGTGAAGTCTACTTGAAATTGGTTTTTTTTTTTTATTGAACAACTATCCGCGGCGCTTATGGCCATTGGATGTAACAGTACAACATAGACATATTATAATCACAGTATAATGGTACACGTCGTCATAAATGGGTCATGGGTGTAGGCATATTGAGGTACAGTAACTTTACTGTWCTATTACACCATGGAAAAATTTATAATTAAACTGTTGTTTATTATTTACTATTATAATTTTTTATATTAGCCCGCGTGATAGTCATAACTCATAAGGTAAGAGTTCTATAGGTAAAGTCATAGATAATAATCTATAATAATCTATGGGTTAAGTTGATAAATTAAATTTTTTTTTCTGATACCCACTATCATGTTGTTATAAAGTGTTATCATACTTATTATCGTGATAATTTTGGATAACTATCATATTATTCTTTAATCACATTCTTCTTTTTTACGTCCCTTGTTAGTCCAGTTATTCTATATTATATTTAGTATGTATTATCGACTGAGGATAATTTAATATTTTGTTTTTTGGAGTCATTGAATTGGAAGGCTGTCGACGAGTTAGCAGAACAACTGTATAGACCGACAAATAGGTAAACACGATATTTGTTCATCACTTTTTYAAATGATGTGCATTGCTTTTATTCATGTATTTCATGCATAACCTTGTAGATTAATTAAAATAATACATTTTATATGGATGTATAGGATGATATATGAACTCAAAATAAGCTGACAGTAATAGGAACACAATATGGCTTTTTTCATGCATTTGAGTCGAGAAGAATATTCAGAATTTGTCTGTGGTTGTGGAGCTGCTATTATTAATGTGGGCATTACCTTCCCAATTAATAAAATTATATTCAGACAGGTATTCATTTTTTAAACAAATTACATTATTCAGCTTTTTATATATTTATGGAGTAGATTTAAAATTTGAAGTTCATAATTACCAAGTAGCTAGTGGTGTAGATAACAATTTATATCAACTAACCTACAGTTACCTATGATTATTTATTAAACTTAAAAATTTATATTTTATTTTATCTATTTAATAAAACATGCAATAGCCATAAAAAAATAAATCSTAGGTACCTACATTTAAATTAATAGTAGGTATATGATAAATGATTATTTGTTTTTCTAATCATACTATAGATAACAATACCTGTTCTATGACTTTGAAATAACAAAAAAATAAAACAATTTGCATTTAAATAGGTGTTAACAATTTACGTGTATTATAATAGTTAAGAATATATAATATATTATATGATTTTTAAGAACAGAATACAAAGATAATTTTCTAAAGTAATTATATTCCTTAAAAATTWCATTTATGCTTCCTAAAAGTCCTACTAAACTACAATCATTGGTTTCAATTTACATTTTAGGCAATGCAAAAAAAACATTAAGTTTGAAAGGCCTTAAAATTATTTATGATTACCTGTCTGCTATAGAGCTAATAATATATTTTAGTTCTGTGTGTAGTATCTATTGATCAGATATTTTTGTTCACATTTATTTTGTTATGATTATCMAGTTTATTACATGCATGGAGTTGGTTACTAAACAATGTTAATTTTTTGCATATAATTTTGATATTATTGTTTTTAATGTTTTTATTAAAGTTATTATTAATCAAGCATGCTATTGATTATTATCTAATGAACAGCAAAACTTGTCTAATAACACGATTTTCTAAAAGCTTTAGATTCCAGCAGTTACATGCAAGATAAACAMTGMATCTGGTGTCATATTTATTAGCACAGATGTTGAATCTTAACCCTTATCCTTTAAATCAAAAGTTATTACTGAGTATTAAGTATAATATCATTTGTAAACAATATTATAGGATGGGAAGGGACTCAAGTCCCTCTAAAAAATTTGGGCTATTTACACCTATTGTCCTATTTCTGAAAGCAATTTAGCAAATCATAACTTGACAAGTTTTGCTTTTTTATAAAAGATTCTATTAATTTATAATACAATTTTGGATATTTTACCAATGTTCGACCTCCATTATTTTTAATATTAAAACAACAAATATTATTACAATTATAAAAATGCTCATTACGTATAATATGATGATTAATGAGTATTTAAAAGTATGATAACTTATAAAACAAAATAATGATTTAAATTTATTTATTTTGCTTGTTCACACTACACTTTSTATATCTAATATTCATATTATTATATTGTGTATAATATATATGCATGGACACACAAAACTCTATTGCAGTATGTTTTCATATTATTGAATTCAGATGAATAACATAATATTCAGGTCATGCGGACTAAAATTTTTTTTTATGAGAATTTCCATTTTAATATATTCTGATTGGTAAAAATGTTTCAAGTTATTTTGTTGCATCTACTTGTATTCTAAACCCAAAATTTGATGAATGAATGTACAAAAACATCCYCCCTAAATTTGTAAGTATGGGAATTCAATATGCATAAAACTAACCCTTTGATATAATTATTTATTTTTACCARCATTAAAGTTTGAAAGGATATTAATTTAAAATTCGCTCTAAATTAAATAAATATTTTAATAATCTATACATTATATTGGTAGAATGTTCAATTTTTGTAGTGTGTATGTTGTGTAGTATTTTCATATATTAATTATTTTTATATTTTATTCATGTTATAATATAAAGTAATTATTTTTAGAATTGTTCTATGGCAATGATCATCAGCACATTCATCTACAGAAAGCATAAAAGACAAACTAATCCATACTTAAATTTATTATAGTTGTTATATCATACCTAATGTGTTTTATTCCATGCAATGTTTTATGTTTATGTCCAAAAGAGCATGTTGTTTAATTATTATTTTAACTTTTTAAAATTTTATTTTAATGTAATTATTTTTATTTTGCTTACTTATTTTGCACTAATTATTTATTAAAAACCCATACCTATTATGTGAAGTTAATTTATTATTGTAGTATACAATTTATAGTTAAATTAATCAAATTAAATATTTCCTATTCCTAATCTAATATATTTTGTATTTTTTATTAGGTATACATTTATGTGGCAACATACATTATGTACAATTTAAAAAAAACCATGTACCTACCTTTATGTAAATATTTTTTCTATTATAAACTAAATTTATATCTTCTTTTATAGGTAATGATAATGCTTAAGACTCTAGTGATTTTTTAGCTGTAATAATGAGATTTCTAGTATGCCTCTTATTGAAAATGTTTTGATCAAAACTTGTATTTATTATTCAACTATGTTAGCATCCAAATACGTTAAATTAAGTACTATCACGTGGCCCAAAATATGAACTTGAGTTGAATTTAAACCATTTTTTTTAAAAATATTTCAAAAACATTATGGTCAAATTAAAGGAGACTTATAAAATATAATCCAAAATTTGCTAAATGGATGTCACACCCGCAGTGTTGTCTTCATCGTTTACTCATGATAGAAATTTTTTTCAATTATTCTTTAATAATCAGTAAATGCTAGGCAATTTTAAATTTGATCTTCCTGTGTTAAACTTACTTGCTATTGAAATATGGTTGTTTACTATRCACTGTCTTAAGAGGATATCACACTCACATATGTTGTTAATTCTCTCTAATATCAAAACTAATACTATCAAAACTATTAAACAAAAATTYGTTATTTTGTATGTATGCAAGACAGAGACAACATATGTGAGTATGACTTCCTCTTAAGTGTAAATTGTATGAGGTCTGAACTTTTAATTTTTTTTCAAATTAGTAAATAATCTGTATTTTGTTATTTTCCATATTTAATAATTAAGTGTTATTATCAGGGTGACTTCTTATTCAAGTAATTCATGTAAAAAAAGAAAATACTCTCATTGCATATGCTTAGTGTGCCATTTTGTACAGATCGTAAATTTATTTTGGTAAAAAAAACCTTTAAAACGTCAATATTGTACTTTTTATTTGCTCTGACAATTTTCTCTTTAGTTTTAAAATATTATAAACCTTGCTGATTTATTAAAATATTTACTCAATTTTTGCTGTTAATTGGGGTTTGCTTTTGGACAGTTTTTACTATTTCTTTTTCTATAATTGTATACTTACATGTAAGTTATTTAAATTTATATATTTGACTTAAATTTATTTTAGATGCTACATGGAGTAGGCCTAAGGAATGCAGCTTCTCAACTTATGAATGAGGGGTTTTCCACTCTTTATCGAGGGATTTACCCACCATTATTTCAGAAGACAATCTCTACTTCATTAATGTTTGGCACTTACGACGCAATCCAAAAACCACTTCTGGAATCTAATTTAAACTCCAGATTAGCCAAAGTCATTGCAGCATTGATGGCTGGTACAGCGGAAGCTACTTTAACACCGTTTGAACGTGTACAAACATTACTTCAAAACAACCACTATAATAAAAATTTTATAAATATGCGTCATGTAATAAAAGTTATAGCTACTGATTATTCAGTATCTGAATTTTATCGTGGCCTTACACCGATTTTGTTGCGTAATGGGCCCTCTAACATTTCCTTTTTCTTATTACGTGAAGCTGCCAACTCTTATATTGTGATACCCCCTACAGCATGGACAGGCTATAAACTATTTAAAGAGTTTCTGACCGGGGCTTTTATTGGTGCTTTAAACAGTGCTCTATTTTATCCATGTAATGTACTCAAAGTGCACATGCAAAGCGACTTGGGTGGCCCATTTAAAAGTATTAAGGAAGCTGCGATTGAAATTTATCAAGAACGTGGAAATAGAGTATCATATTTTTATCGAGGAGTACACATGAATTATACAAGGTCATTTATTAGTTGGGGCGTGGTTAATGTTGCTTATGAAAATTTAAAGCATTTTCTAAAAAATAATTAAATGACATGTATATTAGATAATTACTTTTGCTTCTTCAAAATATCAAAATATTTGATTCACCTAATTTATTTATTTATTAATTTGTGTTTTTTGTTGTTCAATATTTATTATACTATTACACTGACTTGTTTAATAAATACTGTTATTGTAGTTACAACCTGAGTAATTATTTTTATTATTATAATAATGGATTATTTTAATAGGTACATAAACTCAAGATTTTAGTTTTGATTCAGTTTGTGTTTATAGAATAAAGCAGGAAGATTCACCAAAGATTAATYTACTTAGACAACTATAACTTAAGTAAAGGTTGTGCTATAAAGATTAGAAATAATCTCTGGACATTGAACAATTAAAATATAATATGATTTGAGATAGAATCTAAAATCAAAAAATCTTTGGGCGTGATGGTGCTACATAATATTATTAATGTATGACCTATACATTTTTTAATCGCAAAACCTATTACAGCTATGCCCTATTACCGACTTTGTGATTACATCTATGCCTAATTTAGATCGTCTTTAGGAAAATATAATGATTATGAGATATTTTGGAAAAACTTTAAGGTTCTTAAATATTATCATCATCAGAATATTTTTAAAATGTTTCAGGAATATTTTGGGGAAATAATTTAACTAATTTTTCTAAAGAGTATGGTTCAGACCTGACACACTATTATTAGAAAATCAATATCTGTATAAATCCCACTGAATGTAAGAACAAATTTCATACATTTGTACACTGTAATTTAAAACAATTTTCAAATAAACCATTAATAATATACATAAAGACAATGACATGGTGCTTAAAGATATATTGTTTAGGTAAACTTTATGTTTGACATGATATAATTTTCAAAATATTTTGGATATTAGTGCTGATTATTTTATTATATTGTGTTCTTATTTAAGAATACTAATTTTACATAAATAATAATAATGGCTGTTGCATATCAGTTGAACATAATATTCCTAAAGGTGAAAATTGTATGTAACTATATATTATTCTAATGTAAGATCAATTGGATTGGCAGAATAACTTAACKACATTTGAAGTCATTTCATCAAAACAATATTGTCTGGCTGTAAATACTTGTATGTGTTGACTAAATAGTTAATTATATGTCAACAGATTTCCTATAGTAAAAGAGAAGTGTCAATGATGTAAATCTTTGAAAATAGTGGTCAATAAAAATAAAAATTCAATTGACTGAGTTGATATAGATTAGTAATAAATAGTCAAAAGCAATTTCACACTACATGGCTTWGATGTTTGACATATGCTCGGCCTAAYACAACATCCAAATAAACATGGTAACAATACACAATAAAATGGTTAAGCATTGAGAAACATAGGTCCCGGTGTTATTGAATAGAACAAAAATATTAATTTAATTGTAGAAAAATCATCTTATAAATTTAGTTCTTTCTTTTTTAAACTAAAAAATATTAAAACTTATAAGTTAATAGGGTTTAAATGTCTTGAATTATAATATACTTGGAAATATAGGTAGATTGTCTAATGTCCAGAATCATTTTTCATATGGAATGATTTATCATTGAATTTAAATTTAACACATTCATTATAGTGATCTACTTAAACAAGAGGCGAACATTAATACCTACCATACAGAATACTCATTACTCTTTTTTTTTTCTGTATAATATGTGTAATCCAAAGTAAATATATTTTATTTTTTAAGAGAAGTTACTAGATATTATATTTACAACGATTAAAGATCAAACATTAGTTTTATAATTCAATTATTTTATACACTACAAAGGATAAACATGGGAAATGGGATAAAATAGTAAAATGTAGATAATTATATTATCATGGTTCTAAGTTTGTTAAGTTAAATTATCTATAGACCAAATTTTTATCACATTTAGGTAGGATAGGTAAGAAATATTTTTTTTTAATAAATTTAATAATTTTCATAGTTTTGTTTTTATTACATTATAAAAAAACATTCAACATTTAAATTTAGCCCTACTTACACCATACAATTATTTATCAGTTACATACTCATTGCAATAAATTGATATTTCTACATTTAATAATTTTTTTTTGTCTTTTAATGTTGTAATTTTATATTAAGTAAATATGATGTTTACATTTTTAGAATTAAAAATGAAAACTATTTTTTAAATATAAAATAATTTATGGTTGGATAAAAGTTATAAATGAATACAAAATAAAATCTATTTTATACTATTGTGTCGTTTTATAAAATGAAATATATTTAAGCACATTTTCTATAGTAGAATTAACTTATCTAGGCAGAAGCGCTGAACCTTATGTTAAGGTCCTTYCCACTAATTAGTAGTAAAAGTTAAAAACCTGTTAATTTAGACAATTGTGTATATAACCTAACTAGGGTTGATGAACTATGTTGTTGTTTTTTTAATCATAATAAAACAATATATTAGGTATCTCTTTGACGAGATCTTGGATCACCATAACGATACTTGTATATAGCACCACCGCTTACGAAAACAACTTCTCGTCTCATCATGTCATGAAAATATTTTACAACAGCAGACTTGCAGTACATCAATACTTGTCCAGTACCTCTACAAAGGGTCTTCAAAATCTTTTTACTCTTTGAACCAGCCTTTTGAGCCGGTTTTGCTTCAAATATTACGTACATATTTCTTATTCACCTGTAATCAAAAATAGGTTTAATATAATTTCAATATAACATAAACAGATATAAATCCTCTGTCTGCTCTGCGGTGCAATATATCAGAAAGGTCTAGAGATTAAGTCTTGAGTGTACCTCATCATTAAGTACCTAAGTCATTGTAATGTATGTGATCAATTTGAATTTAATAATAAATACAAAGAAAAATTCTGAGTAAGACAGCAATCCTATATTAATAAATATATTTTATGGTATTATATTTATATTACTACTATAGTAATTTATTTTAATACTAAAAACTTGGTAAATTGAGTTAATTTTTACTGAAGACATAGCATTTATTATATTATTAATATTAATTATAATTATAGTATATAKTATGTTTTTTTTGTAGATATTAACTTTAAAGTCAACAATAATTTGCTGTAGGTCGGTAGAATAGGTATATTTTGTGGTATTAACAAGAAATGGAATAAAAATTATCTAAATATTTTAAAAATATCATTATTTGTATAAAACATAAATAATATATATGAAATGAATGTGATAAACCCCCAGTTAAAATATTTTTGAATTAGATGCTGCAAAACAGTTATTCTTTATTTAAATAAGGTGTATTAGAACTAAAATTAAGTATTGTCAAAACAATTCAATTTGAAAATATCA